GTGTCTGGGAGAGAATGCTATGTAGCGTTAAGTCCACCTTTTGTACCAAAAGTTTTTTTATGTAATGTGGCTAATAAATAAATAAATAAGTAAATCTATATTTAATATACAATACAACTACAAATGGAAAAGTTTGTTTAAACATACTAATATCTGGAACTACAGTCTGATTTTAATAATTCTTTTTACGTTTGACAGTACATTTCTTGAGGTATGTATATATAGGTTATTTAACATTAGAATACGTCTATGGGTGAAGCCGCTGGATAAAGCTAGTTAACTATAGTAGTATTGTCACAAAGTTTATGTAATTTATTATACTCGTATTAAGTCATTACGATAATCGAGTTAGTTCACTGAATAGTAAGTAGTTAGTTAACTGAATCAATGATTAAGAAATTATTGTATGATATTACTATTGATTGATTTAATTTGATCAATTTATAAAAAAGAAATGAGAATAACCTATGCTTATGTGAATATCTGATTGACGGAACAACCTATATTAATGTGAACTAAAGGTCGAGACGTCTTCTATCGCTAACTGGAATGGCTGTAGAATGCGTCCCCATTGAGGTTTTCCCTACAAACTACAGTATGGGGTTATTCAAAAAGGATATATTAAGGTTACTTCAGGATCGACAACGCGCACATGTCACCTCTAGTGTTGAGGCGTCCAAAGGCTATAGTGACCGTCTACCATTAGACGGGCTGTGTGTTTGTTTGCCACCTTTGTTGTACGTAAAAAGGTTTTATTTTGGACGAAGTCAGATCAGTTGGCTATTCATGACAAATAAACTAAAGAGGACCGCGCTGCGGTCGATCTAACAGTGTATATTGCTAGCAATAGTGTACCTAGACCCTAAGATTAAGAATCCTCTCGCCCAATCACTCTAGTTTTTAATGGGTGTTGATTTCCATAATTAAGCTAATAGTATACAGTGGCAGGCACCAGTGAAGGCTGAAATGGTGAGAAGGTAGTTAAATCAGTTGACCTATCGTGGCATTGACTAAGAATTCACCACGTTGGAATCCAGGTTTGAGTTCGAGGAGTTCGTCTGATATATTCTACGTCAAATGTACCTATTTTGCTAAAAATGTGAGGCCGCTAACCTCCAAGATGACAATTTCCCCAGCCCTAACCATGGAACTGGGAAGAAGGTATTGTTAGTAATGCAGACTACCAGTCCATTGCTAGCAATATACTTTATCAGGTCGACCTCCACGTGGTTTCCCCTGGATACCATCGTACTGATTTCTAGGTGTATTCATCATAATGGGCTAACTGATCTGCCCTTTTATTCTCACCTATCATCCGTCACTGGTGTCCCGCTGGTGCATACCGTTAACGCAGACGGGGTTACCATTCCATTATCATCCATTAAAAAAACCATGGTACTTTCTACGTGGAGTGCCAACTACGTTGTACTAACGACTTCGTCCACGTGATCGGGATATATTGATTAATCGGAATAGAAATGTGTTATGATACTGAGCCCATTGAAATAGTTCGCTTTCTTAATTTGCCCCTGCCAGGTATCGAACCAGGTATCCAATTTCATATGCACAAAAGGAATTGTACAAATAAATAAACTCATATTTACATGTAACATTAGAAAAGCAAGGGTTTATTACCACAATAAGAATTTTAACTAAAGAATTTTTAACAATATTATTTTAATTATTTATTTAAGACAAACAGAATTAAAAAAGACAATTACACAATTAAATTTATTAGTCAATAAAGTTTGCATAATATAAGTGAAGAAAACACATATAAAGAAATATTATTAATGAAAATTAAGGCAAATATATAAAATTTTGATAAACTAAGTCACAATGATATTAAATAATGTAACATAATGGTCGACTGGTAGAGAATGCCATCATGTATTAAGTTCGCCCTGTATACATATTTTAATGTATGCAAAATATAAATAAATAAATAAGTAGCAAGAGTACAATTAAATAAGTCAATATGGCCGTAATGATTATTATAAATGTGAAAACAAGTTTGTTTATTATATCTTGACGCTTCAACGGTTCAATCAATCGTTACGAAATTTCGTATATATGTACTATTTAGTTAGTTAATGGAGAAGGTCATAGGTTACTTTTTATCCGGGTCAATCAATATACCCACCCGGGCAATGTCGCGGGTAAACACTAGTGACGTTGGAGTAATATAAACCAGTTTTTTTTAAACTTTTTCATGGCACAACCTCCTTAGTATGTTAAAATATTTTTCGATCCCCTACTTAGCGCGATTCCTAATCTGTATGTTGGGGGAAAGGGATTTTTAGTAATGGCGACTGAGAATCTCATTGCTAGCAATATACCCAACCAGGTCTACCTCCTTGCGGTTCCCCCTGGAAACTATCATGGTTAATTCCTGATGAATTCATCATGATGGGCTAACTGGTCTGTTTTCATTCTCATCTATCCCCCTTCACTGGTGCTCCGCCAACGTATTCCTTTAGCGCAGGCGGGGTTACCATTACATTCTCACCCATAAAAAAAATCTGTATGTTTTTTGTTATATTATAAATATCAAATGCGTATATTTTTATTTATGTGGCATAGGTATCGGTTAAATACAATAAATAAATAAATTATACATAATGGAGTACCTAAAACAGACATGGATTACGTTGCGAAATCATTAGTTTTTTACGGTTTTGCGACCTTCCGCGACCCACTTGTAGATACTTGGGAACCCTTCAGGAGGTCGCGACCCAAAATTTGAAAAAAAAAACACTGATTTGAACAACTGTTGAACCTTATATTTCAGAGATTCGGAGTGGTAACAAATTGTGACATACTATAAATTTAATCATTGATTTTTTGTTTTTTTTTTTATTTCCGTATTTTAGAAATTTTCCACTAAGATTTGCTAAAGATTCCAGGAAAAATATAGATAAATATAGAGTTATTTTATTATTTGCAGCATTGTTCTTTTAACTACGCGGTTCGTTTTATGACGTCATAAAGTAAACATACAAAAACTTTAAGGCTCTGATGTTACTCAGTACATTTTCAATTATTACATATTACATATCTTTTGTGGGTAAATTACTACCATACTGTAGGATCATATCATTACCTAGATAAACTAATACTATCCTTTTACTACTTTACTAGTGACGCACTGTTATTAATAATAATAATAATATTAAACGATTGCCTATTACCGTAATCGAATTGGGATGAAATCGAAACCATATCGATTAGACGTCAAACGGACGTTACATTCCTTATGTTTGAGGTCAACTTGATGTAATTTCGATTTGATTCCAATTCGGTTGCATCAAAACACGAACAAAAATGGAATGGTAACCCCGCCTGCGCTAACGGGATACGCTGGCGGAGTATCAGTGAAGGGTGATAGATGAGTATGAAAACAGGCCAGTTAGCCCATCATGATGAATTCATCAGGAATTAACCATGATAGTTTCCAGGGGGAACCATGAGGAGGTCGACCTGAATGGGTATATTTTTAGTCTGCATTACTAACAATCCCTTTCCCCCCGAACACACAGGTTATGGAATGAGCTCCCTGACAAGGTTTTCCTAAGAGACTACAGCATGGGGTTCTTTTAAAGTGAGCTAAAGAGGTTTCTTCAGGGTCGGCAACGCGCGCGTAATACCCCTGGTATTGCAGGCGTTCATAGGCTACGGTAACCGCTTACCACCAAGTCAGCCGTATGCTCGTTTGCCACTTCAGTGGTATAAAAAAAGCAAAAAAATTATCTCCTATAAACGAGTGGAAATCAAATAGTTTTATATTCATGTATATTTTGTTAGTTATACCCACAGGGGGAAAGGGATTGTTAGTAATAGAGACTAAGAGACCCATTGGTAGCAATATAACCAGCCAGGTTGACCTCCAAATGGTCCCTCCGGAAACCATTATGGTGAATTCCAGGCCTATTCATCACGATGGGCTAACTGACCTGCCATTTCAACATCATCTATCATCCCTCACTGGTACCCCGTCAATGTATAACGTAAACGCGGGCGGAGTTGCCATCCCGTTGTTATCCATAAAAAAAAAACTACCCACATTACATATACACTATACACAGTGTGTTTAAATTCTTAAAAGTATTCAGTTATTTGTATAAATTTAAAATTTTAAACAGGACTATTTATAATTATGTTGAAATTTTATTTATTATTACATTTCAATGAAAGTTGGTTGCCTTTTACAGTAAATATATAATACATTAATTCGAGCAGTGATTGACACCTGTAAAAATATCAAATTATTCTCAATTCCTATTTTACTTATATGTACATACCCCCTTATTCATTAAAACTAAAACCTGTTATAAATCTATTTTAAGTATTAAACTCTTTTGTCAATTTCTTTCCAATTTGAAATTAAACTGAAAAGAAAGAGGCAAAACAGCCAAAACAGGTTTATGAGAGATTTGACATTTTTATGATAATGGGGGTTTATTTAGAAATAATTTAGTAAGGTCACTTTACATTTCCATTTTGTTATAATATATATAAAAAAAAATATTATGAATTATTACAACAGCCGCTAAATGTCCACTGCTGAATATAGGCCTCTCCCATAAGGCGGGGTTTTGCCAGTAGTTGCCACGCTTGGTAGGTGGGTTGGCAACCTTAGTTAGGGTTTTGGTGATGTTTTAAGATGATGTAGTATGAATATGATACAAGTACAGTAACTGCTTGTGATATATTGGTAATATATGCTAATCTTGTGCTTATAGTATGAGTGTTTACTTGGCCGTTTAGAGTTGAAGTTTGCTAGTGTGATTAGTACCGAATTATTGTAAATTTGTATTTAGGCGCGTATGTATGAGTAATGTTATCTAACTTAGAAATTAATCAATACAGTTGCAATATATCAATGATTTATATCTGGATTCTTTGTATCTATGTGGGTATAGAGGGTAGATTTAAAAACTTGAGCTCTTAGCCGCAAAATATTGAACTCTTGCAGTGAAGTGGTGAATGATGCCACTTACCAGTATTCGTCCAGTGGTGGTTTGACCGGAGATAAGTTCGCCGGCCCAGTCCTTGGCCTCGGTCATGAAGGTGCCCTCGAACTCCTGTTTGCCCTGCCGCGCCGCCTTCTGCTCTTTTTGCTTGGGGTCGTTGGGAGCGAGCTCCGGCTCCTTGCGGCAGCAGACGAACGCGCACGCGCGCCATACCACCACCACCAGCAGCCCCGCGAGGAAAGTGAAGATCGACGACAGAAGAAAGCACCACCATTTTCGGATACTGAGGCAGTCATTGTCAGGGATCGACGCGGTAGACGTCTCTTCCTCAGACGAAGCCATTCCCCGAAGGCGCGAGGCATCCAGTCAGGCGCGCCATGCACGTGCAGAGGTGCGCGCGCTCGCACGCTGTTGCCGCGCGCGACTGAGCTCACGGCGCCCCGCCCCGCGCGGTCGATGCCGCGCGATCGATCCGCGCACGCGCCAAACCGACCGCGACCTTTCTGCACTACCGACCCGCTGCGAACATGCTGCCCGTGCCCGCTGTCACGCTGCGCTCTTCTCTTCTCTTCTGAGCTACGCCCTCGTAGCTGTCCGTTCCGTTTTATTATCACGATACCCAGATATGTAGGCGACTATATTTATAGCCATAACAGTGACACAAATCTTGTACGCACTAATGTCCGATTCGTAGAGCGGGAGATAACATGCCGAGTTATAGGATTTGATAGATTTAATGTTATGCGGAGGTTGTATTCGGGGTGAATGCGCCTGTAACGCCGCCACTGTAGCGCTACGCCGGCCTACTGCGCCGCGGTGCCGCGCCGCTCGTAGACGTCTACGGGCCGCTACGATTGGTCGGTCACGTGAACGAAGTTAGGACGGTTCCTTCCGAAGTGACGATTCCTCTTCCCTTTGTTACTTAAATATTCTTCTTATATGTAGGCGTCACATCAATATGTATAGGGAATTCTACAAGTTGTACATGTTGATAGTTATATTATAGTAAAACGTAAAAAGAAAAATTAAATTCCTAAACACATGAATATATGCATTTTATAATTTTAAATTTAAATGTAGCTCTAGTAATTTGTTACTGAATAATTGAAGATTTAGTTCCACGAAAATAGTATCTCGTAGTATAGTCGTAACAGCGTATCTCGTAGTGACTTAAATATAAATATATTTCTTACTTCCTTAATATTATATGAGTGTGTTTGTTTGATTGTTTGTTACCTTATAATGCCTTAATAGCTTAGCCAACCACTATGAAATTTGGATACAGTTACTATAGAGAATAAAGGCTACTATATATCCCGGTTACGCGGATGAATTTGTGGGTAAAAGCTAATAATTTGTAAGGGATCAACATGGAGGTATAAATCTTATACAAAAAGAATTATCAAAATATATCGACTTGCATTGAAGAAATCATGTAATATATATACACAGAAAATATAATGCAAAATTGTTCCTTATTTGAGTGAAATAAAATAAAGCATATTTTTTTTTTATTCTTTATTGTACACAAAACATACTGTTAATCACAATTCATTATAAACATAATGTACAAAGGCGAGCTTATCTCTAATAAGAGATTTCTTCCAGCAAAACCTTTTCATGTTAATTGTGTTATTTTAAAAATAAAAATAGGCAGTCATACGATCAACCAAACATTATAATAATAGACTTACTAACTTTTTAAATTTTTTATTTTTTTTACTAGGTTGTGTCAATGACACAGGTAGGTACATATAGCACCACAAATTTTTTTTTTTAAATAATGTATAATATTATAAAAAGTAGATGTTAAAAAATGCTTGAGTAAAGTTTGATCATGAGAGAATCGGTTTACGCTGGCGGGGCACCAGTGGAGGATGATAGGTTAGAATGAAGTCAATTGGTCCATCGTGACGAATTCACTTAAAATTTATTATAATGGTCTTCAGGTGGCACCGCCAGGAGGTCGAGCTGACATGGTATATTGTTAGCAATGGGGATGCTAGTATAAATATATAAATACAGTAATATAATACTGTATTAGAATATTACTAACAATCTTGTATCATCGCCACATCCCTTTTTTTTAATAGATAATAATGGAATGGCAAACCTACCCACGCCACGGGTATACCCTCACGGGACACCAGTAAGTAATAATAGGTGAAAATGAAAAGGCAGGTTACCTAACTTATCGTGATGAATACACCTAGAATTCAGCACGATGGTTTTCAGGGGGAGAGACGTGAAGGTCCATCTGACAGGGTATTTTTTTTTTAAATTGATGATAATGGAATGGTTACCCCACCCCGCCTGTGCTATCGGGATACGTTGGCGGGGCACTAGTGATGGATGACAGGTGAGGATGAATAGGCAGGTCAGTTAGCCCATCATGACGAATTACACTAGAATTAATCACGATGGTTTTCAGGGAGAACCGTGTGGAGGTCGATCTGATAGGGTGTATTGCTAGCAATGAGCACAATTAGACCCCATTACTAACAATCCCTTTCCCCCGACAGGACATATTGCCAGCGACGGGACCGACAGACCTCATTACTAACAACAGGCTTTAACATATTCTTTATTGGATCAGTATTACAGATATTGTAAGTAAAATATATAGCTATTGCTATATACTACCCACCCCTAATAAACAGTTTATTAGGAACAGCGTAATTGCTATTAGATTTTACCAGCCAGTAGGTTTTTTTGAGGGGTAAAAATTCTATGGTGATCCCACCCGCGCTAACGGAATACGCTGGCGGAGTACCAGTGAAGGGTGATAGATGAGAATGAAAACAGGCCAGTTAGCCCATCATGATGAATTCATCAGGAATTAACCATGATAGTTTCCAGGGGGAACCGCGAGGAGGTCGATCTGGTTGGGTATATTGCTAGCAATGGGATTCTCAGTCTCCATTACTAACAATCTCTTTCCCCCAGCCAGTAGGTATTAGCGCTGACAGCTCTTCATTAATGATATTTAGAAACGTCTCCAACGTTTCACTTTGTGACAATCGTTGTATAAAGATACGAACAGTACAATGAACGTCATAGAATATACTGTGCCGCTCGTAATGTACTCGTATATAAAAATCAAACATCTCGCTTGAAAAAATTTACAATTTATTAAATGATCATTAATTCAGTAACCTACGTTCCATTATCGATCCCATCATCAATCGATCTTATAATTTTGATTAATTAAAAAAATTAAACACATGTTTACTAAAATTAAAAGTATATATGTATTTAAAAATATAAAAATGTCGGTATTTTAAATAATAGGTAACTATAAGTTTATAAAAATTCATTAAAGCCCCGACATAAACTAACCTTTAAAAACAGTTGATACTTGGAATCGCTTGAACAGCTTCATAAATTTTAGCTAAGAATCATCTCGATTACATTAATTAAAAAAAAATGTATCATAATCCTTTCATTCGTTTAAGAGTAACAATACCACAAACGGATACATAAACACGTCAAACTCACAAACAGATACACAATCATGTCAAACTTATGTCATCCCTATTTTTGCGTCGGGGGTTAAAAGCAGCGAGTTTAACATTTCTTCTTCTTCTCAGACATTAATTGTGCACTGTTAAACATGGCCTTCGCCATAGAATTCCACAAGGAACGGTCGTGAGCCACCTGCATCCACTGATAGTTTGGAAAGCAATTGAGGTCGTTACTCCATCTATTGAGGGGCCATCCGGTGCGTTTGCCCATACTGGGTCGTCACTCAAGAACCTTTCTTCCCTATCGGTTATCGATTTTTCGAGCTATGTAACCTGCACATTGCCACTTCAGCTTACCAATCCTTCGAGTTAAATCGGTGACTTTGGTTCTTTTGCAGATATTTTAATTTAGAATTCTATCACGCAAAGAAACTTCAAGGATTATTTCCATAGTTCATAATCGTGATCGCCATATGGTGCATGTTTTGGTCTCATAGATGCCAATGGAACCAAAACATGCACCTACATGATCATCACTGGCAATACGCACTAATTAAAGACCTTCGTCTTCAAACTTTGAGGTATTTTGGATGGGAGATGTGGAGTAGTTTTCCGAACGATACCCAGTCTAGTTTGATTCGTCGATTGACTGCTCGGTCGAAATTGAACTTACCTAGTCGGACATGTTGGGGGGAAAAGGATTGTTAGCAATGAAGTTTGACAGCCCCATTGCTAGCAATATGCCTTATTAGGTCGACCTCCACGTGGTTCCCCCTGGAAACCATCGTGAACAATTCTTGTTGAATTCGTCACGATGGGCTAACTGACCTACTTCATACTCATCTATCATCCTTCACTGGTGCCCCGCTGGTGTATACCGACAGCGCGGGTGGGGTTACCATTTCATTATCATCCATTAAAAAAAAACTCGTTGACAACTTCGAGTGTAGTGTTTTTAATCATAACCGGTGTAGATGTGATATGGACGTTAGACATGATTTTAGACACACAAATTATTAATTAAATTTTGGACAGATTATTTATTTACTTAGTGACAGATGATAATAATAGTTAGATACTTTATGGTGTTCATAGTAAACATTTTGCATAGGATTAATTAAGTAAACAATACGTTCATATTACGATAAGATAGATAAAAAAAAAACATCGGAAAGTCAACTGCTCTAAAAGAGTTCAAGGTAATTTGCTATTAGGCACTTTGAAAAGATAACGTTACAACTGTGTTTTGTGTGTGAATTTATTTTGAAAGTTACTTATCTTAGGTAGTCAAATGAATATTAAAAATCTGTTCAAATTTAATAAGTACTTTAAAAATTAATCCATACTTACACAATCTGAGGAAATAAATGATGTACCTGTTGCTTTTAGATAAAGTCACATCTATTGTAGTCTGTCCGCTCCAAAATTCATCATACTCGTGAACACATGCTGCTCCATTTATCTAATCATTTTTTTAGTTGAAGATGCATTTGTTTAAGCATTCCGTCCTCGCTATTTGATACGATATCTGTTCTGTTGGGCACATTGAGTATATATATTTAGGGGTAGATTGCAAGTTAAAGGACAAGGAATAAGATAGCCGGTCTAAGGCTGCTACTGAAATAAGAGAGTGGTCGGCCATCGATTGGGCAACCCCAATCATCTTCTTGTCGCCTATTCAGCGGTCGACAGGTCATCGGCCGTTGGGAGTTGATATAGACACAATTCAAATCATAATTACCCGAGATTTCATCCCTAAGACCGGAATATGACGATTAATCGGGATTAAAAGTATATTATCCTTAGTTAGTTTTACCTTTCGTCCTGTTTACATATATTTTAAATACAATATTGGGACTTAACGCGGTAAAAAAATTGCAATCCTGTTATGACCACGATGTGGTGTATTCCATATCGAAATGCCGGCAATATATAAGCAAGTATGTAGATACTATTTATCTGCAAAGGTTTTCCATTGCGTTAAGTACTGATAGTGTATTTAAAAAATATATTGTTCTTTTTCACTGGGTACAGAGGAATAACATCTGAGTCCTCAGGAATGGCAACGCATGAGGGGTATCATGGGCGAAACAGTATACTCTGTTATGTCCATGTTACTGCTCATGTCTATAAGCGACGGTTACCACTTTTCATTTTTATTCTCATCGATCACCCTTCACTGATGCTACGCCAGCATATCCCGTTAGCGCAGGCGGGGTTACCATTCCATTTTCACCCATCAAAAAAATGGATGATGGCAACTCATTCAGGTTTAAACGTGGTTTAAACGGGGGGGGGGGGGATACAGTTATTAATATTATAGTTAATAATAAAACAATGTTTTTATTTTATTTTATTAATTAAGAATTATTTATTTTATTAATAATTTTTTTATTTGCCTACTTAAAATAATGTTGGATTTATAATTAAATAGAAATATTTGGCTTATTTACTTAGTATTTTTATTTACTTGACTCATTTTTCCGGCACTGTTTCACCTATCCATTTCAAATATGGTGGGTTCCCATTTTTGATGGGTAGAGATATGACTTCGCAAACCTCGTACGGGTGGTTGGAGCGTACAAATTCAGACAGCTTGTCAACTTGTGAGGTACGGGTCTTAATCATCAGGAGTAACTGTAATAAGAGAAAGTTGTTTACTTTTATTACACAATATAGGAATTTTATATGACACTACAAAAAATAACAATAGCTTGATATAAAAAAAAAAAAAAAATATTCACCAATAGTATTGATTTACAGTACCTATTGTATAAGTATACCTATTGGTGATGTTCTTTTATTCTCTATGTTGTTTGATGCAAATGCGAATGCTTAAGCTGTGGAATAAACTTTTCCCTTGAGATTATAGTAGGGGATTTCTTCAAAAAGGATGTAATAAGATTTCTTCTAGCTTGGCAATGTATGGCACCTTTAGTGTTGCAGGTATCCATAGGCTACAGTGACGGTTTACCATCAGATAGGTTGTATGATTATTCACCATTTTCTTGGTATAAATATATATATATACTTAATAATCATTTATTAAATCAAAACCATGCAAAATCATGGATGATTTTTGCATTTTACCATTGTCTGGAATTTACATCGCAGAACTGCTCCTATCAATAGATTTTTACAAAATGATAATTGCTTGGAGGTTTTGAAGAGGCTTTTATGAAGTCTCATTTTTAAAACAGAATCTTTTTTATTTATCTGAGAAATATAAAAAAAGTTGACTAGTCATTTGTTGGAAAACGGAAACCATCATCCATAGAGAAAGTGCAGTTATTTATTATTATTGGGTTTACGGTAGGTTTGTCTTTTCAGTTTCAATCTGTTTATATAATATACTAAATACTAATATAAAAAAAGGTTTTTTTTTAATATAAATAATTAATTTATTATATAATTAAGTATAATAAATAACCTCACTACCTTCATTTATATCATATTTTTACAATTTGATAATTAATAATAAAAAGTACCTCATTATCCTCATTAATTTCATCTTTCCATTCATAAATAGAAGTGACCTGGGGTATGATGTTGACACATGCCGCAAGCTTGTTCTTCACCAATCCATGACCAATGGTCTTACCCACTTCCAGGCTGGGCACAGTCACATATGCCACTGAGTATTTGTCTGGAAAATGTAAAGAAAAAAATTTTAATGGGAAGCAGCAGTGCATACAAAATGCAGTTATTAAAAAACTATTGTTTTTGTACAGGGTAAACATATTTCTTTGTTTTTTAAAAAAAATTAAGTAATAGACACAGTACATTGCACAATATCAATTTGCTTTACATTTGGGTGATACATTTTCATAATTTATTACATATTAATTCACAAAACTAGTTTAAAATCAAAGAAACTACAGAAGTTGTTTTGTTAGTGTCATAAATAATGAAAGGTAATTTTGTAGAAATTGTTAATATAAAATTATTTTACATTTTTTTTTAATACAACTTAGAATGGCAAATAAGCTGACGGCCCATCTGATGTAAAGTAGTAACCGTTGCCTATAGACATGAGCAGTACCATGGACATAACAGAGTATACTGTTTCGCCCATGATACCCCCCATGCGTTGCCATTCCTGAGGACTCAGGTGTTATTCCTCTGTACCCAGTAAATTCATGCCATATCCCACCCTTTAAATCGAAACACAGCCATGCAAACACAACAGCTTCACGGTTGAAACACGAATAGGACAGAGTTACCCAAGCAATTGACTTTTGTACAAAGTCTCCCTCTGGTTTATTTCTAAAGGACTCATTACATAGGTACATCTAGTCGATAGTGTTTGCTTGTATGGGCCGCCACTCAAATTTTCTTCTAGATAGGTTTAGATAGTTAGATTGTGAGCTATGGAGTTGTGCAGATTCATCGGGTTATATCAATTCAAGAATATTGAAATTCTGTATCCATATCATCCGTAAATTATCCACTGCTGAACATAGGTCTCCCTTACAAGGGACATTTTGCCAGTAGTTGCCCTGCCTGGCTGGCGGGTTGGCAACCCGCTGGTTTTGATGATGTTTTATGGACGATCCCTCAACTATTAAATTCCCTTAGTCGCTTATTATGACACCTACGAATTCCAGATTAAAATGAGCAAATTTGAACATAATACATATGGGTAGCAAAATTAAATTAAGTAACTTATTATAAATTTTAACAATTAATAACCTGCGTCGATAGTCCCTGAAGACATATTTGCTTGAGCTGCAACAAAATACGGCCTTATTACGGTTAAATATATTGTCAGAAATGACTTTCTACTCAAAATTTGCATTTTTTGCTAATGTACATTTTATTATTCTACTAGATGTAGTGAAAAACTAAGATTATTTATTTACTTTTTAAATCAAGTTAACAGTAGTTGTCAGTTGACATTAAGAAGTGTCATTGTCGTAAGTGACGGCAAATCATATAGATACTTATCATAGATTCAGTATATTGTCGTATTCTCTTTCTACGGTACATGTATAGTTTTTTTTTTAATGGTTAATAATGAAATGGTAAACCAGCCCGCGCTATTGGTATACACTGGCGGGGCGGTAAGAGATAATAGGTGACGATGAAAGTAGATCAGTTAGCCCATCGTGACGAACTTCATTGGAATTGATCACGATGGTTTCCAGGGGAACCGCGTGGAGGTCGACCTGATGAGGTGTATTGCTAGCAATGGGTGAGTTAGATACTATTATAAACAGTCCCTTTCCCCCGATACATGTTGTGGAGTACAGGCCACATATATTATTTATAGCTATAAATTATTATTTACCAAATTCGAAATTGACACGCATATCTATTGTTTCCTTTTGGCTTCCTTTTACGGCCCTAGTCTTCTAAGTTCCTTTGACTATTATATACATATTTCCAATTTCCATTCCTGGTTTCCTTTGTCGCCCACATATTTTGGTCCTTCTAGCCGGATAACTGCTGTGCTCCTGGTCATGATGGAATAGTGCGTGTGGCGGACGTAGCCACAATTGGAGGAGTTCTTAGGCGTCCCTCGCGTAAACTTATCAAGCTGAGCACTGTGTAAATAGTTTTTTATTTAATATTTTTTGATATTTGTCTGTTACGCGTGTATGCCTGTTCTCCACGAACATTTGTTAGTACCGAGCCTAACGGGGTGGGCAATATGTGGAGTACAGGCCACATATATTATTTATAGCTATAAATTATTATTTACCAAATTCGAAATTGACACGCATATCTATTGTTTTCTTTTGGCTTCCCTTTACGGCCCTAGTCTTCTAAGTTCCTTTGACTATATTATATACATATTTCCAATTTCCATGCCTGGTTTCCCTTGTCGCCCACACATATATTAAAATGGAATGCTGTGCGTTTTGTTTCAGCTATACATATAAGTAACTTGTCTTTAAATGAATGTAGGTACCTTAATATTTCAGTTTTTTTTTTTAATTATGGACGTATACGTGACGTATACGTATATGCATAATTTCACTAGAAACAGACGCTGCTATCATTTTTATATTATTATTATATATAATATTTATTATTTACGTGCTATATTAATTGACCATGCTCATGCTTAGTTACACCTATGATAATATTTATTTTTCCATTTAAATTCTGGCCAATTTTAAATATAGTTTTAATTTTAAATGGCACACTTAGTTTTCTAATATTGTAGCTATAGACGATGAATTAGACTTGTACTAGGTACTTCTGTAGGCTAAGTCTATAAGCTACCATCATATGTGTTTATGAAGATTATGCAATGAAATTATTGTGTACTGTGAGTCATAAGCGAGACCTTAATAAACGAACAACCCTGAAAATAAAAAAAAAATCTATATGATATGGAATAATTTCAATAAATTCGTCAAAACATTGGACGTCACCAATCTTTCTATCTTACGGAATCGCTAGTAATAATTTTAATTTAATTTAATTTATTTATTCTTTATTGTACACAAAAAAATATTACATATAATATATATAAAATAAAGGTGTACAATAGGCGAGCTTAACTCTGTAAGAGTTCTCTTCCAGCAAACCCTGAGTGGAAAGGAGCATTAATTATTTATTAGCGGGCAGTATGCGTACAATAATAGAAGGAAAAAATAATGATAAATTACATCGATAGATTCACATATTTAACGTAGGTACTTTACAATTTTTATTTAAATCCATAACAATTTATGATTTATAAGTCTATGGTACTAAAAAAGAAATTAAACACTATTAATAAAAATAATTAATTTATTTTTCATAATAAAGAAATAGGTACCTATTAGGTAAGGAAACAGTTACCTATCGATTTAACATTTATATACATTAACTTACATATAAAATTATAACGTGTGACATGCTTTGAGCATAAATTTATAGAGAGATTATTAGTTATCGTTATTTGGATGCACCAAATAATCTTTGACTATCAGACAATAGTGTTGCCTGTTGTGTTATTAAATTAAAAAATTAATCTCAAAAAAATATTTATTTATTTCATAGTTTAGATAAAGAATTAAGCTATGGACCACCAAGATTAAATTTAGAGTAGCTCTGACTTTTTAAATTTAAATCATACTGGTCCTTAAAGCAATAATGGTTAATTGAAAAAGTTTTGTGACATTGTAAAATATTTTTATAGTAGAAAGTGTACCATTATTTAGCTTAGTAAATTGATTTTACCCTATTAATATTACAAATTAAAAAAATTGTAAAGATGTTGGTATGTTTATTACTCAATCACTCCTGAACGTATTTGAATGAAATTTGGTACACGGGTAAGTTATTCCCTAACTTAACACATAGCATACTTTATAAATATAATTATTCATGCAAACAAAGCCACGAGAATTAGTTAGGATATAAATATACTTGATGCGGCCATCGGATTTTCATCTTCACTTGTCTTTCAATCTATGCTTCATCCACTCCTTTTAAGTAAATATCTCGTTCATTATATCATCAACGTATAATATACTTATAATTCTAACGTTATTTATATCTATAGGCCAAGGTTTACCACTTTGAAACAGGTGGGTCATCGACTTTTTTTATGGCCTGTTTGTTGTTCATAGTAGAAAAAAAAATTGTAATGGCCAATTATTTACATTTTTAGATTATACACACAAATCATCGAGTCTCAAAATCGGGTTAACTTTTTGTCAGCTAAATGTCAAATTAGCTGACTCGTTTTTTTTTAAGCAGTGTTCTATATACAATGTATCTTGACGTAATATTTAATAAATAAAATGAGTATTCACTCATTAAAAAGATGCAGAAATTATAAGAAAAAATAAATATAGCCGTTATAAAGGAGTCACTTATAACAATTTATCACGCAAAAGTGTATAAAAAGCTGTTGCTTTTCTCGAATCATTTATATGGAGACACTCTATCTTCTCGTATATAATCTAAGGTACAGTGTAAATTATAGTTGAGTTGTAACTATCATTGATACTAAATCAGGCATACAGCTATATATTTTTTTTATTGAATCTTAGTAGGTCAAAGCAACAAAACTCATATGTAATTATATAGGTAGATATATCACAATCATGGGTACATTATGGTATATATTACATACATAAAATTGACTTTTCATTACAAAATATAGATAGAGAATTTATTAACATTACGATCTCATCTATTCCGCAAATGTTTATTGCCTGGTTCCTCATAACACAAGATATCCTAGGTTGAGGACTTGGCAATTGGTGTGGCACTTATTAATATTTTAATAGAACGATTCACATAATAAATCTTCCAGCGCAATTAACACTGTTTAAATCCAGGTACACAAATTGTTTTTTAAACTCCTTCAATGTTTTCCAGGTTTTTTCTGTAAAAAAAGAAAATTGTTTTTTATTAATAGGACCTAGGTATAGGTATAAAGAGTTAATGTACATTATGGAAGGGGGGGGGGCGATATTAGTAATGAGAACTGGTGGTCCAATTGATAGCAATATACCCTGTTAGGTCGATCTCCATGTAATCTCTTCTGGAAGCCATCATATTTAATTTATGGTCAACTTGTCGTGGCTACCTGCTCTGACTTTATATATAATAATAATTATTGCTACAGATAGTGTAGGCATGCTGCTGTATAGTCCCAGTATAGAATAGGCCTTTTTTTTCATGTGGGTGTCGTAAGAGGTGACTAAGGGAACTAAATTGTCGAGAGATGAGCAGCACCGTCCCTCTTAAAATATCACCAAAGCCCAACTTTTGCGGTTATCGACTTGTTTGCCAAGCTTAGCAACTACAGTCAAAACTCCCCAATAGATGGAGGCCTATCTTCAGCTCTGGACAGTTAACGGCTGATATGATGATGATGGTATGATAGTGTAGGCGAGGTTACCATTCTATTTTTTCCGCATAAAAAATGCATAACAAGCATGTTTGTTTCTTTTATCTGTAACAGCCTTTGCCAAAGTGGGCGATAACGCCCCTTTGTGGGCACTGCAGGCCTAGAAAAAAACGAGGGCGTTGTGTAGAGGCTTGGGGGTGATTTGTTGATTTTGAAGTAATAGTGGTTTTTAAGTAGGTGAAAAAATGGGGGCGCTAAATAGAATTTATTCTCAAAGTGGGCAGTAGACAAAATAAATTTGGGAACCCCTGATCTATAGGTAGAACGCACACGCCGGATGCATTTACCTTCACTGGAGGATAATTAATATCCTGTCTTAGGATAGAAGGTTTGGAGGAGAATTGAAATCCATGCTCAAGAGAATATTCATATTTATAGATAGACAGATAGATAGATACTCTTTATTGTTTCCTCCAAAAGATTACAATATTGTTTATATTTATAATAGGTTTACCTATTATAAATATAAACAATTACATTTTTTTTTTTTTTATGCAACTTAGAATGACAAACAAGCTGACGGCCCACCTGATGGAAAGTGGTAACCGTCGCCTATAGACATGAGCAGTACCATGGACGTAGCAGAGTATACTGTTTCACCCATGATACCCCCCATGCGTTGCCATTCCTGAGGACTCAGGTGTTATTCCTCTGTACCCAGTATATCTGTACCCAGCCATATCCCACCCTTCAAACCGAAACACAGTCATGCAAACACAACTGCTTCACGGTTGAAACACGAATGGGACAGAGGTACCCAAGCAATCGACTTTTGTACAAAGTCTCCCTCTGGTAAATAAATTTACTGTATAATGTGCGTGAAAAGCGCATGAAATGAGACTTATATTGCATTTTCAACAAATATCTCATTTTCATTGTTCCTGCATATTCTAATGGGAGACAGGCATGACAGATATGTTACATTACATTACATACATATCTGTACCATAATTGAAATTGCGCTAAAATATAGCGACTACCGGGAAAATTCCACTTATGGGGGAGGCTAAGTTCAGCAGTTGACAGTAAACGGTTAAAATTAGTGATTTCTCGTTCAATATTCAACATAGTATTATATAAATTACACTTTGACATAATTGAGCACGACAACGGATTTAAAAGCAACAAAAAGGCAGGTAAATAAGTAATGAGTACGGAGGCGAATTGTCATTATTTAAAATTATTTATAAAATTTAACTGAATAATACTTAGCAGGTATAACAATAGTTAAAGCTGGATATATAGAGTTAAAATGGTCCGTCCGTGTGGTCCCAGCATAGAATAGGCCACCCCTTCGTTTTTCGTGAATGTCGTAAGAGGCGACAAAGAGAGGGTAAGGAATGGTCAGCAGCGTCCCTCTTAAACGATCTAAATAAACATAAGCCTAACTGCGCTTGCCAATCCGCCTGCCAAGCGTGGTGACTACTGGAAAACCAAGGAAGAGGCTCGTATTCAGCAGTGGACAGTTAAGGCTGACATGATGATGATGATGAAATAATGCTTAGCAGATATAATGATCATTAAAGCTGGATATAGAGTTAAAATAAATAAAATCTTGTTACATACACAAAGCAGGTATGTTTTGTTATACGTGTACATGTGGATGGACTGAGCAGATCCATGTTCATAAGCATGTCTATTTCTGAATGAGTAAACTCACACCAAAGTCGTCTGATGTCTACAAACTACCAACAATATTATAAATTTACAGCAGATATGGCGCAAGAGCAGCATGAAGGTATTTTGAACTCCTTCTCTATCAAATTGCCAGATTCGTCGAGGGCGGCCATTTGGCGGTACTGATGCTTTTGTATGCAAGTCGCGTTGTACGTTGACTCGTCCACATAGATTATGCTCGAGCAAGGCACGTTTGCAGGCCTGAAAAAAGAATAATGATATTTTTTTATACAACTTAGAATGGCGAACAAGCTGACGGTCCACCTGATGGAATGTGGTAATCGCCTATAGACACGAGTTACTACTATGCCATGGTCATAACAGAGTATACTGTTTCGTCCATAATACCCCCAATGCGTTGTCATTCCTCAGGACTCAGGTGTTATTCTTCTGTACCTTGTAAATTCACTGCCTTTTCTACGCTTTAAACCGAAACACAGTAGTGCAAACACAACTGCTTCACGAATGGGACAGAGGTTTCTTAAGAAATGGTCCTGAATCACTTTCATTCATTGGAGCCATCATTTCATCTAGTAGAAAGTTTGACTGTATGCAGTGTTGATCTATGTGGATGGTGTTGCCACTCATAAATATTCTCCATCGAAGAAATTGTTTATTTTTAAAAATACTGGTAGTAAACACCAAATTATTTTTATTGATTACTTTAAATTGCAGAATTGTTTGAGAAGACTTTTTGTGAAATTAAGAAACTACGTACTATTAAGAGGATAATTTTGATAATGCCCACTTTATAAATTTAAGTAAGGTAGGTACATACCTGCAGATTTCAACACGGAAACCTTGTCGCGGTGTCTTTTTTTGATTTATTATTATATACCATTTATCGTCATATGCAGCTTCGGGGTACACAACCTGAAAACGTTATTATATAATTTGTAAATACGGTCTATTTTTGTATCAAGATACTGAACTGGTGATGGATTTTTGGCTGCTATACAGAAATAATTATTTCCGTACGGCATTATTAGACATTGTTATCCCCGAATGATAATAATCTGTCTACAAAATAGGTGTATGTAATAATGTGTGTGTAATAGGTTTTTTATTATCATCAATTTGTGATGTAGAGTCATAAATAACAAATAAATACCACGACACCAATACAAATGTTTGTACTGTGTAGAGATCGAACCTGTGACCATTGGAACTTCATATATCCTTTGTAATAATATATATATTTGAACTATATAGCTTATTTTAATAATTGGCAGGTTCCGCAGGTTGCCTTCGTTGAAAATAACATGCGGTGCTAGGGGAATTTTATATCTGATGTTCTGATATCGAAAAAAATTCAAAATAATTTAAAATGGTGTTAATAAATGAATAATTAAATAAACAATTCGACTAAAATATTGTCTTCGACATTTTTTAATGGGTGATAATAGAATGGTAATTCCGTCTGCGCTAACGGTATATGCTAGCGGGGTACGAGTGAGGAATGATTGGTGAGAATGAAAAAGCAGGTCATCGCGATGAATATATCTGGAATTCAGTACGACGGTTTCCAAGGGAAATCGAGGGGAGGTCGATCTGACAGGGTGTATTGCTAGCAATGAGGTTGGTAATCCCCTATAATTATATAAGGAATTACCAGCCCTTAATAAACCCACGTCATCACCACTACCCTGTTCTAAGGACTAGATATTTTCAAGTATCTTACACTAAGTCTATTATTAAAAAAGAAAAATAGATACCTTCTCCTCGGAGTTACAAAGTTCCATCATTTGATCTGGAGATCCTATCCTTTGTACAATCTCTGGCGTATCTAAAATATCTACGTTGAATCTATATTTTGAATTTTCCAGCTGTAAATGAATACATTACTAAGTTAATAAAAACTACTTAATAAGATATTGCTGCAAAAAAATTCAATTTCGTTTGAAATCATATGAAATGTCGATTGGTATCTTCATCGATTGAGAACCGTTTTTGATAATTTATTTATTTGTGTTTACAACTTCTTATTAAATTATATATCTATGGAGTGATTGAGCAGAAACAAAACGCCGTTGATACAAGGAGGCGCATGCGCGGTACGTTTTCTTTGATTTACTTGTAGAGGAATAAAATATCAGTAACTGTATACCTAATATTAAAAAGTTCTTTTGTGATAAACTTTAATATAGGGTTAATTTATATGCAACAATAACTACAAATAAATATACTTTTACTAATAATAAATGCATTAATGCTGACCTCTTTTAGAATAGCAGCGACTCGTTCTGTGGGATAATTAGGGATGCTCTCGCAGATACCATGTTTTAAACAATTATCGTCCGATATCTGCGGACGGAATAATGGCGCTCTTGAAGTTGGCCCTGGGAACACAACACTGTCCCTTAACGACGGTTTGGAGTCTTCTTGTGCTGAAATTGATAATGAGAATTAACATTAATATTCTAGATGGACATCTTCTTTTTATAGTTCATTAAAGTTTCTACAAATACCTACGAATCTGCGATATACTTACTGGAATTATTTGATTCATAGATGTTTAGTTTTGAGCCTATTCATTGTACAGTATCTCTAAAAATAGAGCAAAATACTAGTATTATCACAAAAATTAAAATAATTAATTAATAAGTATTTTATTGATGCAACAATTTTTTGGTTATTTTTATTACATAATGTAAAAAATGTGTCTATTAAAAAAATAATATACTTCTTACCTCTCCTATTACTAACTATAGGATAAGGCTTTGCTAAATCATTTACAATTTTGAGCGACGAATTGCTATTTCTTCTGTAACCTTCATCTACTGTGCTTGTTCTTCTGTTGTTTTGTTCATTCACTCTCTTATGATTAAGTGGGATCGATCGTTCGCTCATATGTGATCGTTCATTCGATCCCTCCAAATATCGTTCTGTAACTCGTTCATAGCTCCGTCTGTTTCCTATACTAATTTGCTCTGTCCTGACTGGGTCTCTTGAATATTCATTTCGATTTTCTGAAGATGTCTGATATTCTATGTAGTCATTATAAGTAAACGCCGGTGTCGATGTCTGTAACAAAATATAATATTCTATATTAGACAGTCGGGTTTAATTTTTAAATGGATTAAAAATATTATGGAGGATTTCATTTAATAGAAATAGTTATTAATTAGAGTTTCATAAGAACCATTCTTATTAAATCAGTTTGCATTTAATCCATTTGTTTGGAGTTACATGCCATAGACGAAGAAAATTTCAAACTTTTAATACAGACTTACATATTTGATATTATAAACAATTAGTAATTACTCTGTATGAAAACAATAAAAAGGATTCCAGACAAATTATCATATTGAAGATTAGGCAGCATGGTCTCCGACCTTAGCCTGTTCCACAACGGAACAAACGTACTTAAAAAAAAACAATAAAAAGTGTAATACTCTGTATTTAAAAGAGGTAAAATAATATACGCATTGCATACAACATAATCAACAAACTTTCAAGGTCATTTACGTCCACACAAAACTAATTGTGCTATTAAAATATGACAATAATGATCCACAAAATAAGTGTCATTATTATGATGACGTTTACCAACTCCTAAAATCTTAATGAGTGGTATTATTATAACATTTTTCATACAACAAAAATGAACAGTTTAACATGACTCAGAATATAAATAGGCATTGAAATGTGTACCACCATGTCAAATTTACATCCGTGTCTGGTAAACTATAAAGAAATTAATTTATTGAATTTTATTACTGTGAGAGACAGTCGTCGACAAGTAACTCGCTAACAAGCCAACACAGAAAAAATAATTAAAATAAAGCATTAAGTAGTATATTTCCGGATATGTATTTTTATGTGCAAGAAAAAAAGACTCAGAGAAATGGAATATTGTGTTCCACAAAAAATATTTCAATTGTGGCAAAACCAGTTATTTTGATTTAAAAAATAAACTAATAAATTGATTTCGATAAAATTTCTATGGGATTAATCTACAAACGTATTCTTTCAGATAATAAAATAATTTTCCAAGTTGGTTTATATCTGAGAGAGTTGCGTCAACAAACATAAAAAAACTTCTTCTTTTTGAAGTCAGTTTTTTTTTAATGGGTGATAATGAAATGGTAATCCCACCCGCGCTATCGGTATACACCGGCGGGGTACCAGTGAAGGATGATACGTGAGGATGAAGTAGGTCAGTTGGCCCATCGTGACGAATTCACAAGAATTGTTCACGATGGTTTCCAGAGGGAACCACGTGGAAGTCGACCTAATAGGGCATATTGCTAGCAATGGGGCTGTCAAACTCAATTGCTAACAATCCCTTTTCCCCCTTTTGAAGTCAGTTGAAAATAAAACCTTTTGTCGTCTTTTGTTTCTATTGCGCTCTACACTTTGGAATTTGATTAGTAAATTAACATAGCCATTATACCACTAATAACTTTGCACTACTTTTGAAGTTTCAAACATTTTTTGCCACCAAAATCGAAATTGTCAATGGTATCTTACTAATAAGGAACATTCTTATAGCTTGATTAACACTTTGGTTCGCTATCAGGGAACTTTTTAAATCAATCAGTTATATTTTTTAATTGCTTCAATATTGCCATACTTTAGTAAGTTTCGTTAAAAGCCTCTTAAAAATCAAGACTATAAATCTTCGAAAGCCAGAAGTAAAGAATGTAAGTACTTTTGCGGTTTGCGTCATCATTTTTAGTGACGCAGACGGTAAACGCATGAAGGTATATATACCTACGTATAATTGATCCACTGATAAGAAAAAACTTACAAAGTAATTAAACTGGTAATGTATACGCAATTCTTTATATGCTATGGTTTGCTGATTGTAACTAGATTAATCGAGTTATTGTTTGACGATTTATTAATAATTAATATTATGAATTACCTAGCCGTGTAGTCTCGGCATAGAATGGGCCATCCCTTCCTTTGCCGTGGGTGTCGTAAGAGGCGACTAAGGGTATTTAATAGTTCAGGAATGGGCAGCAACGTTCCTCTTAAAACGTCACCAAAGCTTGCGGTTGTCAAGCTGCAAACTGTGTCAACTATTGGTAAAACTCCCCCAAGGGAAGGGAAGTTCAACAGTGGACAGTCAACGGCTGGTATGATGATGAGGATGAAGAATACCTACGTAGTTTCAATGAAATTTTGGAATTTTCAAGTGTATTTGTTATATTTTTTGTTTATCTTTTTTTATTTCCTATATTGTTAAATACAACTACAGTATATTTATTTATTCACAGATAATACATATATATATTTTATACAACTTAGAATGACAAACAAGCTGACGGCCCACCTGATAGAAAATGGTAACCGTCGCCGATAGACATGAGCAGTACCATGGACATAACAGAGTATACTGTTTCGCCTATGATACCCCCCGTGCGTTGCCATTCCTGAGGACTCAGGTGTTATTCTTCCGTACCCAGTAAATTCACGCCATATCCCACCCTTTAAACCAAAACATAGCCATGCAAACACAACTGTTTCACAGTTGAAACACGAATGGGACAGAGGTACCCAAGCAATCGTCTTTTGTACAAAGTATCCCTCTGGTAAATAATACTATACTAGTACTTATATTGTGGTATTAGTAGAATAAATTTAAACAAAAACCACTAAGCGTGGGTCGAATTAGATTATTGAAATTTTCAAATCAACAAATGATTGTAAATAATATAAATAAATATGGATATAAAAATAAGATTGTAGGTAAGTAATAATAATTAAGTTATAGCTTATTTTTTGTCTCTTTGTGTGGTTTATATTATAAACCACAATGGAAGTAATTGTCCTTCATAAGATATATAAATTAAAAAATAATTGACTTTTATATTTATTTGTAGGTTAACAGTATTTGTTATAAATAGGCAATCGATGTGAATACTAAGCAGTGTATATTAGGTTGCTTAATTTTATTGGCGCACTGCCAATTCCATTTGATATTTTGAACGGCTATTCTTATATAGGTAAAACATTTTAGTAGGTAAGTATTTAAATAATAATAAACATGCTTTATTTGTATTTATCAAAGTAGTGGTTAGGTCCGATCGTGAGGTGGACAATTGTCGTGAAGGAGCGTAAATATAAATCAGCGGAATTAAGATAGCTGATGGCTAAATAAAAATGTTCTACTTATCTCTCTCGTAGGTATTAGGATTTTTGTTTATAGAAATTAGAATGGCAAACAAGCTAACGGCCCACCTGATGGAAAGTGGTAATCGTCGCCTATAAACATGAGCAGTACCATGCATTAAAGATTGTGCCCCAAAAAATAATGCGACTTCATTTGTGACAAAACCAGTTATTTGATCTGAAACCTAAATGACTAAATCGATTTTGATAAAATTTCTATGGCATCAATCTGTAAGTGTATATACCTTTCAGATAAAAAGAATTTTCCAAATCAGGTTAGAACTGACGGAAGTGTGAGGTAGCAAACATAAAAAAAAAAACACAACAACCGAATTGTGAAACCTTATTTTTGAAGTTGCTTGAAACAGACTTATTATAAAATTAAAAAAAAAAAGTATTTCAGCATTAGTTATTTAGTACCCATAGTACAAATATTGACCCAATATAATTTTGGGACTAGATGCCACTGAGTTATGTTTAGTTTTTTTTTATTTACATCGCTCCAAGCTAGGACCGGTCTAGACTATAGGCACTTGTATATCATGTTGATATTTATGGTATTGTCGAAGCAAATAACAGGTTAAGTATGATTAATGTTGTAACTATAATATGCATAAACGGCGCCTTCATGCGTATATCAAATATAATTTAAACAATTGTATTGAAGGCCGTGGACTTGTAAACCATTTGATTTACAGATAAGACGTATTCTTGTATATGACTTTATTTATTTACTACAAAGCACTCAGTATTGACGTGTGGTCCAAGCATAGAATGGACAACCCCTTCCTTTACTGTAAATGTCGTAAGAGGCGACTACCAATTTCAAATAAATATATTACACATATGACATACAAAGAGCGGTCTTATCACTTAAGCAATCTCTTCCAGACAGCCTTTGGTTAGAGGAGAAAAGAAAAAGCTGGTAGCTATTTGGCACAATAAGTATGTATAGTAATGCAAATAATCATATAGATACTATACCTACATATGAGTACTTATAATAGTATTTATTACATAAATAAATATATGATAAATATGTAAAATACATAACATACATTTATTAACACTTACATAATAAAAAATAATTGATTAATATGGCATTAATAAATAATAAATGTTAGGAGTTACATATTTTTGCAACAGAAACACAGACACGATAAAAACTGCGATAACGTTGCGAACGTTCACCTCTAGACTTGTGTCATGATATTGATTGAAGTTGCTTGTATTTATGATTATTATTATAATATATTTTTTTTATAAACTACGAATGTGGCAAACAAGTATACAGCCTGTCTGATAGTAAACGGTTACTGTAGCCTGTGAACGCCTGCAACACTAGGGGTGTCACGTGCGAGTTGGCAAATTTGACGAATCCCATACTATAGTTTTTACGTAAAACATCGGCGTGGAGCTCATTCCACAGCCTGAGCGTTTGTGGGAGAAAATTCCTTTGAAACTGCACTGTACGTGACCATTCAGTTTCAAGCGTGTGAGGATATAACCTCATAATGCAGATGTAACTAGTTTCACAGGAAGCGATTTAAAGATAAGTGTTAACATCGATGTATATAGATTGTATATAGTAACTTAGTATGCCCCTTGAAAATTTAAAAGTTATAAATGTGTGAGTAAAATATTTAGAAGGTTTCGACTAGGGAATATAACATGCTTCTGTCTGGATCGCTACTGAAGACGTTTCCTCGCAAAAAAACAGAGCATCGCGGCTGTATATCACCATCATCATATTTGCCGTTAACTGTCCACTGCTGAACATAGGCTTACCCCATAAGGGGACTTTTGCTAGTAGTTGCAGAACTTGGCAGGCGGGTTAGCAACTGAACTTAGGCTTTGGTGATGTTTTAAGAGGGATGCTGTTGCCTGTTCCTCGACCATTAAGT